AGACTGAGTATGTAAAAAAAGTAATAAAAACATAGAGAAACTCAGATAATACATATTTTAGAAAGTTTAACTGATTATGGTAGTAATCAGTGAAGGCGAATAAATCAAAGCCACTTCACATAAGAATAGAAATATTATCTTACTATCTGCAATGCAGTCTGGTTTTAGGAATTTCTTTCTTTCCTCCATGACTCAAAGTAAAAGTGCTCATGCTTTTATGTTTCTTGTGTTATGTAGTCACCAGGCATCTCTCTCAGCAAAGGGGAGTTTGCAAAAGAAGTGGACCATGAATATTTTCCTTCGTGATTTTACTTGCATTTCTAAAGAACTTTTTTAGAGAAAATTGTGTTAAAAATAAACTGCTTCATGGCTTACCCTCTTTGCCAAAGTATGTCAAAGAGGAAACAAAACCTTCACTTCTGTGATGTTTCAGATGAGTTAATTCTAGCATTTTCATTTAGGTTAGGGCTGTGCTTCTGAAATGAATCTGCCGATCATCCCTGTTTGCTGTGCTTTCATTCACGCTACAGAGCAATTTTGGAGCATGTGGAGTGCCTTCGAAGCCACCGAAGCAGTGTGTTCCAGGGGTGCAGCTAGCAGAGCTCAGCCACGGTTGGGGTCTGCAGCCCACGCTGGAGCCAACCTGGTGGGAAAACCCTGCCGTGGGCATGGTTTCAGCATGGGTTTCTCAAGAGGAAGATGATCTCTTCTCCCTGGTGTCCAGTGATAAGATGTGTGGGAATGGTTCAAGGCTGAGTCAGGGGAAGTTTAGACTTGACATTAGGAAGCGTTTCTTTACCGAGAGGGTGGTCAAACACTAGACCAGGTTTCCTAAGGAGGTGATCGATGCCCCAAGCCTGTCAGTGTTTATGAGGATTTGGACAACACCCTTAATAACGTACTTTAACTTTTGATCAGCAGTCAGGCAGTTGAACTAAATGATCATTGTAGGTCCCTTTCAACTGAAAAAAAAATATGCTCCTCTATTCTAAGACCAACTCTTTTGCTCTGCAGCTCTGCTTCTGTTGAGTTACACTGCTTGCTATTGGAAGCATTGCCTTTGACCACTAAAAATCATTCTTACACCTAAAGAAACAGATTGCTTGAATTATTTAATGGCAGAGTTGTATTTCTTTCAACCAGAATTAAGAAATAAAACCCCAATACTTTAGTAGACTGTGTAATGAGCAAAGCAGATGTATGGAACTCTTCATTCCACAGAAAGCTGACACTAGGGACTGATCCTCCAGGTTGCAGAGGAGCATCCCAGTGTCCTTGTGAATGTACAGTCTGCCTTTAAGCATAAAAAATGGAGCCCGATAATTTATTTCATTTGGGCAAAATACATTGAGGATATTGCTCATTGTATCTTAGTATCATTCGTAAGATTGGATTATTTGATATATTGATTTCTGGACCAAAATATATGTAAACCTATAATATAAATCTCTCTATATTATTGTTAAATGGCCAATAATAAGGGCTATGAAGTTATGTTTTGCTTGATTGCATAAATTAGGATGTGTAAGATCAACTCATTTTAAACTTTGAATTGCCTGCAAGTTTGCAGATATTTTTTCTTTCCTCATTCTGACCTATGATTATCAAATAATAGACTAAGTCCCATTTTATCTTTCTGCAATACATGATTATATCCTAACAAATACTCCCTGAAGTGTCTGGAGTACAAATCTCATTTTATGTGTATTAAAAACAGTAGGGAATCTCAAATCAGCTCACTAAATAGCTTTTCTGCAACACCTTATTAAGAAAGTGAAAACTAATATAATTGCCATTTTGCTGTTCCGAAAGCGTTAAATCTGACAGCCGCTGAATTCCAAGCTTATATTGTTTCTTCACAAAGGACATTTGAAGGTGAAATGAGAATAAACTTTATTTTATTAAAATTTGTATTAAATTGACTAGAATGTATGTCTCGGGGAGTGGTGTAGTACTTTGCACACAATACCCAAGATGTGATGGAAGAAAAGGAATTGATTAATTAGAAAGAAATGTTTAAGACTATTAAATAAATCTAAAGTTTGATGATTTACAGTTCAAGAAAAACTGTGGTGTACACTTGCCAGTTTTCAGATTAATTTCAGATACAGCCAGAGGTCTCTTGTAAACAAATCAATGTATTACATTATTATTCACAGATCTGTTCTGTACCTGCTTTTCATTTTGTGTCAAGCGATCTGATAGAAGGCAGCATTAGGAATACCCTTGGGCCAGTCATTTTATCTCTGTATGCTTATGTTTATCTTCTCTGTTAAGTTTTGACAAGGTTTTTCTGCCCTTTTTAAGTGTTGTGAGCTCCAGAGAGGAATACCAGTTGTAGCTGGTTGTGCAGACTATAGTCTCAGTGTCGTTGGTGAATATTATGGGTATTTTTTAAGAAACATTGTTCAGTTTTTTTAATGCTTCTAAGAGTTGTCAATTTTAAAAAATAGTATTTCTGAAAGAAAAGGATAACATTACTATCCACAGGGTGGGGGAGAGGCGGTTGTCTTCTAAGTGCAAGCCAGCAAAAATATTCAATATTCCCTGAATATCGAGGTCTTGATTCTGCATTTGTTCTGGTTACAGAAGGACTTGGAATTAACTTAAATGTTTTAAAATTATGGGCATGTAAAGTGTGTGAATATTTACCAGGACATCTTCAGCTGTAAAATAACAGTTGGTTTTGTCCATTCCTCATAATCTGAAAAATTCATGCTGGTTTGTTATCGTATTCTGCTTCTCTTTCTCTTCCTCTATTACTATCATAAATCTACCTGAACTGGGAGGCAAAGCCAGCAAAGTTTATGCATGCAGAATTTACAGCCAAACAATCAGAATTTGCCAAGACCGGACAACATGAAAGTAAATGTGTAAATTAGAATTGGGCTGCATTGAAAAAAAATTTAATAATTCATTTCAATGTGCCTGTGAGAGAACAGAAGTATCATTTAAGGGATCATTATAAAGGGTAGGAGAGGAAGATCTGGTTTTTGTTCAGTACTGCTGCCAAATACAATTCACACTCTTATTTCAACACAGAATTCTTTCAAAAATTAAAATCAAATTAACCTCGATAATTACTTGAAAAAAGAAAAATGGAAATTACTTTTCTGAAAATGTTATTGACAGATCTGCGTGGAAGCGTATATCATGCAGTGCCCGATATTGTTAATATTAGTCTTTGTCATTTTGAAAATGAAATTCACAAACTATAATTCACTTCCCTTCTCCCCACCAGGCAAATCAGTTCTAGAGTGCCAAATGTAATAGAAAATACTACCTTTGATTTCACTTGAAGTGAATTTTTGTAACTGTATAAAAAATGTCTGCATGAGTGAAGGTATCTACACAGTGTGTAATGAGATAGTATTTGTATGGTACATATAGATAGCTGCTGTATAGACACATACACACGTACACACATATGCCCACCCAAATGTATTGGTTTTGTATAAAATAATTCTATGATTTTAAATTAATTCATCATTAAGTGATGTTAATAAAACCTGAGATGCTCACCCGTTCCCAAGAAACACTCTGTGCCCTGGACACTGAAGTTCACTCTGAATTAGTCAACAAACAAGAAATCACCTGTACCGGGATAATTACAGCATCAAATGTGCTAGGGCTACAATCCATTGAAAGTCCTTCAGCCGCTTGACTGAACTTTGCATTAAGTTTCTTTTTCGGCAAATGTTTGTTTGTGGTATTCCATTATATACCTGTCAATCTAGGGCATCAAGAGTGGTAGACATTAGTGACCTGTTAGGAAATCTCTCTCTAACATCTGTTCTTGCATCTATGCTGTGAAGCGGAGGAAAACACAGATTGGCTTGTAGGAATTACAACATATGTAGATTAAAAGGATTCTTCTGTATCATGAAGTATTTATTGTGCTTCTTACCATTTTATGTCTGAAAGAAATAACGTAATTTACGAAGATAGTCATGGTTTTGGTGTTTTTTCATATTTCTTGTGTGGTAGCGAATAAAAAATTCATAAAGCTCGCAAGAAAAATATTAAGGGTCAGTAGTGCAGGGTACAGTATATATAAAGGTACATAACGCACAGTCCATTTCAAAACCTGCCAGTTTAGTTTTCTATGAACACTTTATTCTCGATTTTACAAGGTCAAATAAAATAGTACCTATCTGAAAAATAAGGACTGTTCTTTAACAGTATTGCTTTTACAAGCAGCAATGTTTTACCAAAGTTTTTAGGAACATATCTTAAATATAATTATGTTTGAATGAGCTATTTGAGTAGTGGAAGCATCTCAGTGTATGGGCTGTATCCGACTCCCTATTGAATTACTCCAGATTTATTCTGTAAGTCTTGAAGAATGCATTGAAATTGCTAAGTTTTCATTTCAAAGCCCATGAAAAAATGCAATAAAATTAAGCGTGAAATAAATACTCAGTGAATGTATGCAACTTGGCAAGATTTTTACATTAGTCTGAATGTGCCTGGCAAGATTTGTTTCTGGCATTTTTTTGTTTTAACCTACTAATGTTGTTGTTGAATTAGTAATTATTTTGGTTTTGTTATATTTTATCCAGGAATTTTGTTTCTCAGTTTCCTTTTCTTTCCCCCCATTTAAGATTCCAGAGGCTTATTTTATTAGAGATCCTCATACTTTCCTCCTTACAAAGGACTTTATTAAGGTATATATGTTCTTTTTAGTGAAAAAAAAAAAATAAAATCTCTCTCAAGACCTGAACTGCATGTCCTCACAGGTTAACATTTTCACATATAACGCCAGTTACTGGAAATGAGAATGGTTAGTTGGTTAACTGAAGCATGCTTGAAAGGAGAAGCAAAGCTTGTCTAGAAAATACTAACACTTGGATGAGTCTGCAGCCTGGGAGGAGAGCACCGGGTGAATTTTCTGGACTTTTTTCATGGCTGACTTGGGATATGCCTGCATTGTCACACAGTGTGTTGACCTCTCTCCTTGATGCATATTGCTCATGACAGTCCCTCTCCCTTGCCCGCAGGCGATGGAGGCGCAGATACAGAACTTTGGACAGACGCCATCGCAGTTGCTCATTGAGCCCCATCCACCTCGGAGCTCTGCCATGCACCTGGTGAGACATAACTGCTGGCCGGGAATGTGTTCCCTTTGAACCTGAGGATCCTTTGTAGGTCATAAAGTACCCATTAAGCAACGCTTTTAATGCCCTCCGTTGCCCGTGCAGCCGTACTTTCTCCTGGCAGCAACGGCTCGTAGTGCTCTAGCAGAGCAAGGTGGAGGTTTGAATAGCTTTAGCTTCCTATAGTCCTGACTTTTCCTGTCTGATTTTGTATAAAAAAGTCCTATCTTCATAAATATACACTTGATAAATACATATTTACATTCATGTTTTGGCAAGTAGTCGGAATGACTGCAGGCTTTTCTTAGAGCATGTTGTTTTGTTTTAAAGGATGCATTGGTAGGGGCTGATTTATGAACAGTGCCTGCTTGACAAAAATGAAGTATTGGAGTTCCGATCATGCTGGAATCCTCCCACCTGTTCCCCTGGGAGAGTACAACATATATTTCGAATTCCAATTTGGACTCCAAAATTCATTCCCAACGCATTCCTTGTGCTTCTTGCAAAGAATTACATGAAATGGCCAGACTGAACGAGACAGATCTCTGTGCCCTTCAGTGCCTTTGATTAAATGCTTAGAGCTAGATATTTTCTTTTAAGTTTCATAAATCAACAGTAATACGTGCAGTAGTTTCAATCATTTTATCTGTCTGCAAGGAAATCACTCTATCTAGTTGTACACTGCGAAAGTGGGAATTGATCTGGAAGTGTTAGCTGTGTTACTTTAAGTAATGCGTAGATGTCAAACATTCATAATGTTTATATTCTTAAGATATGGATAATATATTT